GGAGTCATTTCCTAGGCCCATTATAGAATTTTTCTATAGGTAAAAGAACACAATTTGAGAAATGCATGTTGAGACATTACATTTTGATGGAAATATGGCTTTTACAAGAACATTATTATTAAGTTGCATGTAAAAAAATCATGTTTATATTGCATATACCACAGGGGTAAGAGTTTGGGGATTGCTACTGAATGCCTTATTCATGATTTGAACAATAGGAATCAAGAAAATCATGGTTAGGCATTATGTTGGACAGAGCTTCTCTTCATTTAAAAAATTAAAATGAAATTCAAAGGACATTTAAGAATGCATTTTATTTAAAGTAGAATAAAGATCACTAGTGAGAGAAAAAGATGCCTTTTCTATAAAATAAGCTTTTTTAAAGATCTTTATGAACAGGCGCATGTCTTTAAAGACACGGGGTCTTGAATACAAGCACGATGAAAAAATATCAGAGAAGTTCTTACTTAGCATTGTACACCTTTAGTACTGTGGCAGGATACAAGATCAACTCCAAAATATCAGCTGCCCTCCTATACACAAAGAACAAAGATACAGAGAGAGAAATCAGAGAAACATCACCTTTCACGATAGCCACAAAGTATCTTGGGGTACCACTAACCAAGGAACTGAAAGATCTATTTGACAAGAACTTTAAGATTTTGAAGAAAGAAATTGAAGAGGATGCCAGAAAATGGAAGGATCTCCCATGCTCTTGGATTGAGAGGTTCAACATAGTTAAAATGGCAATTCTACCAAAAGCAATCTATAGATTCAATGCAATTCCCATCAAAATCCCAACGAAATTCTTCACAGACCTTGAGACAACAATAATAAAGTTTATATGGCAAAACAAAAAACCCAGGATAGCCAAAACAATCCTATACCATAAAAGTACTTCCGGAGGCATTACCATTCCTGATTTCAAACTCTATTACAGAGCTACAGTAATGAAAACTGCTTGGTATTGGCACAAAAACAGAGATGTTGACCAATGGAATCCAATTGAAGACCCAGATCTTAATCCACAAACCTATGAACCCCTGATTTTCAACAAAGGAGCTAAAACTATACAATGGAAGAAAGAAAGCATCTTTAACAAATGGTGCTGGCATAACTGAATGTCAACCAGTAGAAGAATGAAAATAGATCCATATATATCACCATGCACAAAACTCAAGTCCAAATGGATTAAAGACCTCAATATCTTGGTCAAAATCTGACCAAGTTTATTATAGTAAAAATACAGAAAATAGTGCTATATATCTAGCAGGCTATGGTGATTTTATTTTTGAGTATTGGTATTCCATGTACTCTTTTTGGGGGTATATGTGTCATGAGAAAGAGGTTTTGAGTTGCTTTAAAATGCAATAACTTCACAGCTCAGGAACTTGAAGCAAGGTTCCAGTTTGAGTTGTCCCTAAATGATATTCTAAGTATCACCGAAGTGGATCTCACAATGAAAATCTCCTGCTTTTCTAGTGCAAACCTGGGCAAGAATGCAGAATCTGACGCTCTCCTACCTACTTGTGATTCTAAGGGTAGAGATTTGATTGGTGGCATCTCCAGGACACTGAGGTGGATGCTTAAGGTTTCAGTCTCTTTTCTTTTTTTATTCCAATGACTTGAAGTTCGTTATGGAGATGTGACATCCTAAGAGTCTCTGAAACAGATAGTTGACTCACAATGCATGGAATAAAGTCATGTGATGGTGTACATGCATGTGCTAACACATGCATGCATGTGAGAACAGATAATGTGGACGGAGAACCATGAAAGCGAAGGAGGTTCTGGAAAACAAAGTGAAATTCAAAGGACCTTTTGTTAAAAAATATAGAATAGAGATCATTAGGGAGACAAGCAAGACTCCTTTTCCATAAGCCTTATAGAAGAGAAGAGCTTGGTAGTTGGGTTTAAGAACCATAGTAATGAACTAGAGGGCTTCTCCGCCAGGTAACTTAGTGACAGATGGGATATGGGTCGGAAGATTGTTATCCTGGAATAAATAAAGTTAGGACGAATAGGGTTCTTATACTACTTTAAAAGATATAAAGGGTCAGGATTAGGAGATGTGCAACACTGAAGTTACAAAGTAAATTACATTAGCAAAGCTATCCAGCAGAGGACAAGACCGTCATCTGAAAGAATCTTGAATTGATTTTGTACACTTTGTGAAGGTATTATAGAAAACATATTTTGTGAGTTAGCTTCTTAATCTGTTTTTTTTTTACACAAAGCTGTTTTATTTTGGATTTTGTTTGTTTGTTTTTAACATGGACACTCAGTATTAAACTTAGATCTGTACACTCGCATAGTAAGCACTTTACTAAGAGATCCATCACCCACGATTCCCCTTTTCTCATTCTCTATTTTTCCTAACTCCTTTACCTGCCAATTGTATATACTAAGAACCCAACTTCTCTTTCTTTTTTTTAAGTTTTATTTATTTATTTATTAAAAATTTCCACCTTCTCCCCTCCTCCCATTTCCCTCCCACTCCCCCCACTTCCCCTCCTGCTCTCTCCACTCCCCCTCCCCTTCCCTCCCCAGTCCTAAGAGAAGTCAAGGTGCCCTGCCCTGTGGGAAGTCCAAGGCCCTTCCCCCTGCATCCAGGACTAGGAAGGTGAGCATCCAAACAGACTAGGATCCCCAAAAGCCAGTATATGCAGTAGATTCAAAACCCAGTGCCATTATCATTGGCTTCTCAGTCAGCCCTCATTGTCAACCACATTTAGGGAGTCTGGTCTTATCACATGTTCCTTCAGTCCCAGTCCAGCTGGCCTTGGTAAGCTCCCATTTGATCAGCCCCACCATCTCAGAGGGTGGATGCACCCTTCACGGTCCTGACATCCTTGCTCATGCTCTCCCTCTTTCTGCTCTCCTAAAGGAAAAATGATTATCCTCATACCAAGAATGGGAAGCAGGATGTTGGAGAGGACAGGTTATTAGCAAATAGATGATTGTGGATTTGATCTTGTAACACACTGCCAAATTGTGAAAGTTTTTATTGTCATTAATGGGTGTTTAATTTAAAGCCTGAAATGCTAGAAAATGTGTTGATTTCAAGCATTTTCTATATAATTTCTGAAGTCTTTTACCAAGAGTTGGCCCTATTGATGACTGGAAGTTTGAATTGATCCCTTAGCCACTATTTACCGTTGGGTCCATATGTCACTATGCTGTTTGAACGTATGACGAAACATGTGAAAGAATTCCGATAGTCCATGGAAGGTCAGTCAAAAACAGGAAAGTGGATAGTTGAACAATCAGGGCTATAGGAAAAATCAAAGGAGGATATGGTCTCTTGGCCAGAACTAACTTGGTGGTATTTAATATGCAAACAGTTAAGGGAGTAAGACCACCCCCTGGAGAATGTAGCAGGAAACTCATTTCAGGAAGGGAGCTTCTCAGAATCAAGGTCTTTCTAGAGGAAACATTACAAAAAAACCAATTATTTGAGGCAGAGTGAACAGGTAGAATGGGGTGGTGTTAGGGTGAAGCCAATAGTAACTACCCATTGCCCTTCCAGTGACCTTGGCAAGGTCTGACTCTGAGCGTGGAGCAGAATGCTAGAAAGTTGTGTGAACTTCGTCCTTTTCATACGCTCCTATTAAAGAACCATCAGGACCTGAAGATGAAATCTGAACCATTTTCACTTAGAGGAAGCCTTAAACTAAGTTTGACAGCTGTGCTGATAGGGGTTCTCAGGCAGGCAGACATAGGAGACAGCAACAGACAACCTCAGGAGAACATTTCCAAAGTCTCGAGTCCATGGCTTTCAATGACCACAGAAAGCTTCAAGTTCCCTAGAAATCACCTAGAAAAAAACTCACCGTTTCTGCTTAACAGAGCTTTAATATATTAATTGTAGTAGCCAGAAGTCAGTTTTTTAACACAGAGATAAACTGAACATTCTTACAAAGGGGTTCTTTTCTCACCTCTGGAAAGAATTTTTTCTGCTTCATAAAGATTTATCTTAATTCCCTGTCCCCACACTTCATAGCTTGTTACCTGGTCCATTACTCCGACCTGTAACTCGATAAGGTTTGGGTTCTTGTGATACAGGTTTTCAGCGCCGACTTCTCCCAGCTGTTGCTATGACGTGCCCGATAAAACTATTTGCCTCGCAGGGAGCCTGTGGCCTGCTCTTCAGCTTCTCATTGTCCTGTGGCTCTTCCGACTTCTTGCTGTGCCCTTCTGAGCTTATCCTGCCCTTCCTCTGCTTTTTCAGGAGGGCAAACTTTCGACTTTTCCAGGTGGCTAATCTTTCCATCCTCGGGATTGTGCTGATTAGTCAGGAAATCGTCCTCTTTTTCCTCCAGCATGTGAAGCTCGGTCTTTACATATGTAGGGATGCCACTGGGATGTGACATGAGTCTTCATGGGCATCTTACGTGGTCCCTGAGAACACAGATACTGCCTATGCCTCTTTTCTTCATGTGGCACCCTGAGGCTTGCAGGCATGCTCTTTATCCAAAGGCATCCCTTGCTGGAAAAAATCCAAAGCAGTCGTGGCTTTGGTGGCTGGCATTTGTGAAAAGCTGCCTCTCTCACTAGGCAACATTGCATGCTACCTAGAACTGGAAGGGCTAACCTTCACTGGACAAAGCATCTTTTGGCTTACTCCCTGTGAGAAATAGAAAGGGACGTGTCAAAACCCAAAGGTTTCTGGAACTTGTTTAGGACTAGTCGGTATTGAGAATTTTCCTGGCCTGTGCTATTAATTTGGGAGGGGGGGGCAAATTACCTCCTCTTTCACCTACTTAGAACAAAATTACCTGTGCAATTTTTTATGAACTATTGGGCACCACAATGGGAAGGTAAGAGGACTGAGTGTAACAGGTGATTACAATGCTAACACACGCTTGCAAATGGTAAGATCAGTAATAAATCTTCCGCTGCATTTTGAAGAGGAAAGAAGCAAAGTCACAGTTGCAAGAGGCACGAAGGAAGAAACCATTCGTCATGCACAGGGCATGGAATGGAGCAAAGCTACTCACAGGTGTTTGCAGTGCCTTTGGGGATGGGGAGGTATGAGCCTGGACTCCACGGTCGGCCCTGATAATTCTTCTTGCATTTCCCGCAGTCTGGACCTGTTGTGTTGTGCTCACACTCACACGTCAGTTTGCTGTTGTCATACACACACACAGTGGCGTGCAGGTTGCACTTGCACCTAGGCAGAGGAGAGACAAAGAGTTCTCTGTCAGTCAAGTCGGCCTTAGCAACCTAGCTACTAGGGGTCATGTGGAGCTCTTAAACCATGCATCATTTTTGTGCTCTCCGGAAATGAGTGGAGACCTGCAGGCTTACCCCTAAGGATCTCTTCGATGAAGGCCTTTTGGCGAACGGGCTGTTGCGATGTAGTCTCCTTCACTCTGCATTCTAAGGAAGACTAATACTAGTCTATTCTATCGGGGCCTGAAGCTGTCTTTGGACAGCTGTGCCCCTCAAGACTTCCTTCCAAAGCCATCCAAAATATTATCTCCAGGGGATGGCTCATCTGTGATATCAATGGTCTGACAATGTTACCAGTTTCTCTGGCTTTAAGGAGAGATGCTATCTTTTTCATGTCACTATGACAATTCCCGTTCGTCGAAAAATCATGACACCATTGAAACAATTTGCTACTCAGTATTGTTCTAATGACTCAGCAGCTTATGATCAGGCTTTCTCACGCTGGAACTAAACAATTGCAGAACTTTTGCATCAAGTCCCCCCTGCCGCCCCAACCCTAGGGGAGGAGAGGCAGCAAACTTTATACTTTCCATTCTCAACATACGGCAATCACAAGCTCCCCCAGAAACTAGCCAACTGACTCTAGCAAGAGGTACTTAGAATCCTAGGAAACAGAAAACAAACCAACAAACATGTACATATGTGACAGTGTTTCGCCACCACTGACCGTGACATCAGAGCTGTGACATATTAGGGACACTATGGAACACGTGATTTCCCTTACCCGTTCCAAGATTGAAAGCTTTTGACTGACACTGTGGAGGCTAACTTGCTCTTTGTCAAGGCAGCGGGTAATAAAGTGTCTGACGCCCTTTTCAGGCCATATCCCCTGGAAAGGTAAAGCCTACGTCGACAGAATGACCGTGAATAGGAATGCGCCCACGCAGAGGAGAATGACCACAAATAGGGACACATGCCCACACAGAGAGGGCAGGGATAAAATACCAACATACGTCAGACTCCGAAGCTGAAATGTCACCTGTGTGTAGGTGTGCTAAAATGAGAATCTTCTGTGAGCTAGGTAAGAATAACTGAACCCGTTTCATAAAGACAAATACTATTGTGCTTTGTGTATTTCCTTTGGAGGAAGATGTCATAAACTGGGAAGAAAAAATAATAGAACATTTTCTAATAGGTGGGAAATGAAATTATTTAACTATTGCTATTTCTACAACATCTGTATGGCAATGGCTATTCTCTTTTGATGCAAATGAGCTCATGTTCATCATAAGGAAGAAAATGGATGGGCATGACTGTGACCTTGGCTTTCTTCTAAGAAGGTGTAAGTCCTGAAACAATAATCATTCAGTCAAATCTCTTGAGGAAGACCAGGCCTGGGCTTCCTGATGGCTCTCCTACAATGAGTAATACTTCTAGCTACCCTTCTCCCCCTGTGTACCTGTTATTCATGACAAGATCGAATGGGAATATTAAAATAATAGAAATCAAAATTAAATATATAAATAGCACCTTTAGAGATGCACATTTTCAGCATCTGACGAAATGGAAGGGGAAAAGTAATTCATTTAAACAGACAGTGTTTAATTGTGAACTAGGCCCCAGAGCGACCTCTGATATACAGGCAGCTTTGTGCGCTAGGGTACTTTATTAAAAGATCTTCTTCGTTCCTGACATTAGCACCTTTATTTATGGATGTGTTTATACATATGGAGGATGTTTGAAGCCCAAGTGAGAGCAGCGCCAGCTCCTACTGATTTAACATCCTATCTGGTGTTAAAATTTCAAATGAGGAAATGAACAAGGTGACCCCCAAAGAATATGCTTGTTTTGTGTTTGACGTCTCAGAATGCAAACATTCAATGTGAGCTGGATTATATATCTTGCAATTTTCAATATGTGTATACACGTAGCTCTTCTTTGAGGTCCGGGCCATTTCCATTCTAAAGATAGCGTATTAGCTGAGAAAGATATTCTTTGAATAACAAAAGGAGGTAAAAGGAGAATAGATGGATTGCTGTTACTAGTTTTTCTTAGATTTCTGGCAGTAAAAGTTTCATTCTCTCTCACCTGTCTAAAAGTTTGTTATTGAGGGTTCAACTCAGTACATAATCCTTAAACAAAACTTATATACATCTCCAGTATTAGTTTTCTGATTAATTAAGTTTCTTTCATGTGTTGGTTGGGTAATTATTACTTAGGGATTTTGTATTTTTGAAAAATGATCCTTTTTATCTCCTAGAAGAAGTAGTGTCTACCGTGTACCTGGCTTCTCCAGCTACTTCCTTGACTTAGTTATGAATTTCCTTTGCTGTGATAAAACACCATGACCAAAACAACTTGGGAAGAAAGGACTTTTTCCATTTTGTAGCTTTATAGTCCATTATCCAGAGAACTCAAGTAAGGAACCTAAGCAGGGAAGAAACCTGGATGTGATAAGTGAAGCAGAAGCTATGGAAAATCTCTGCTTACTGATTTTGCTCCTCCTAACTTGTTTGCATTTTTATACATTCCAGAACTGCCTGCTCAGTAGTGGTACCACCAACAGAGAGCTAGGTCCGCCCACATCAATCATTACTCAAAAAAAATTGCCCTGTAGACTTGCCTACAAGCCAATTTCATGAGGACATTTTCTCAACTGGGATTCCCTCTTTCCAGATAATTCTAGCTTGTGTCAAGTTCACAAAACCAAACCAAAACAAAACAATAAAACTAACCAGGACACTTCTTCACTTTTTGACTTTGGTTCACTTGTGTCTTTATTAACTCATCCCTTCCAAGTGAGCTAGCTTCTCCTGTTAGAATTATCCACGCCTTCTTTCCTGAGAATCCAATGGCTATTCTTGCTTGCCTTGACTTCTTCAAATGTGTTAACTGAGAACCACCTGTTGCACCTGCTAGCTGTGCCTGCTGGATGCCTAAACTCATTTTTAGGACATTATTTGTTTTGTACAGGCCATTCCTTTGTGTTCTAACTTAACATTTCAGTCTTGGACACTCTTGTCTAGATTTTTACTTCATTTTCTCCTGTGATATTTCATTTTTTGAGTTGTAGATTTTTTGTTTGTTTGTTCTAAGACACAGGGTTTCTTTGTAGCTTTGGAGTCTGTCCTGGAATTAGCTCTTGTAGACCAGGCTGGCCTCAAACTCACAGTGATTTGCATACCTCTGTCTCCTAAGTGCTCGGATTAAAGGTATGCGCCACCACCACCTGGCAAGTTGTAGGTTTTATTATGACCAGTTTACATTATTACCCCCATCAAACCTCAAATATAAAAATTACTTTGAAAACAAGAAAGTTGAGATGGAAGAAGGACAGAGATGAGAGCAAGGAACGAGATATCTTGATTGAGGAAGCCATTATAGGGTTAGCAGAAACCTGGCTCTAGAGAAATTCCCAGAAAACCATGAGGATGATCCCAGCTAAGACCCTAAGCAACAGAGGAGAGGGGGCCTGATCTTGGCTTGCCCTGTAGTCAGACTGATGAATATTTAAATATCACCATAGAACCTTCATCCAGCAACTGATGGAAACAGAGGCAGAGACCCATAGCAGAGCACTGGACTGAGCTCCAAAGTCCAGCTGAAGAGTGGGAGGAGTGAGAATATGAGCAAAGAGGGCAAGATCATGATGGGTTCACCCACTGAAACAGTCTGCCTGAGCTAATGGGAGCTCACCAACTCCAGACAGACAGGGGCAGGGAAGGAACAAACATAGGCCCAAATTAGTCCTTCTGAATGTGTTTGACAGTTGCATGACTGAGGGGCCACTGGCAGTGGCACCAGGATTTATCCCTACTGCATGCCCTGACTTTTTGGGAATCTATTCTTTTTGGATAGATTTGACCTTACTCAGCCTAGGCATAGTAGGGAGCGCCTTGGACCTTCTCCAAAGCAATGTGCCTTACCCTCTCTGAGGATTGGATGGGGGTGGGGTGGGAAGATATGTGGAGGGAAAGGGAGGAGGGGAGGGAGTGGAAACTTGGATTGGTATGTATAATGAAAAAAGATACTTTGTCTTCTTTTAAAAAAATAAATATAAAAATAAATTAAAAGATAGTTATGTTCAAATAAAAAAAAAGAAAAAGAAAATTAGCAAGTATTTCAGGAGACTTAGATTCCCTAAGTCCTTTAGGGGGGCCAATAGAAACCCTTGCTCCTATTATCAACAGTAAAGAATATGTGATGAATGTGTTGAGAAGCCCTCCTTCTGTAGCCTCATCACAGGTCTCTCTGTCTGGCCTCAAACATATTTATCAAAATGCCTTCACAACATAAGTTTGAAAGTTTGAAACCAAATTTCTGATCCTTCCTACCCTGCTCACACCCTTTATGAGGTTTTTTTTTTTTTTTTTTTTTTTTTTGTCTCGGGAAGTCTTATCTTGGTCAACTAGACCTCCTTCATTTCAGCTAACTGTAGTAACATTTCAATTGTATTTTAATAAATAAAGCCTGCCTAAAGATCGGAGAGTAAAACGGCCCCACTGGTCAGCCTTACAGATCAGGTAATGATAACACACACCTTTAATATCATTAGCCACAATGACATAGACCTTTAACACCAGTAGCTGCACTAGTTGCCATAGAAACTGGGTGGTACATGTCTTTAATCCCAGAACTAGAGAGGATTCTAAGAAGGGATGAAACACCTCTCAGGCTCAGGCTCATTCTGAGATTCCTGGAGGCGGGATTGCTATTTCAGACTGAAGCCCAGGTAAGAGTCAGTAGCTTTTCAGGTCTTCAGGTTGAACCTCAGTTTCTCTCTCTGGTTTTTATTAATCGTGCTTCAGTTAACCAAGAATGGGTCCTCCCGATCACTTTTATGCTCCACCTAATTGGTCATCCCTCCTTATATCACAAAGGCCTCTGGTCTATGCTCCTCCAGTATTCCTCCATCGATAGTTTAAGCAGAGGTTGTGTCCTTGGGAATGATGGTCACTGTGTGTGACTTAGACATTTACATAGAAGTGAATGCTATGG